CCTCCCCCCCTCGATATTCAATTTGTGTGAAATACATCTTGCTGTCATTTTTTTCGTCCCGCCGCCATTCGATTTGTGCTGTCTGCATGCTGTGTTCGATGTTCACAGACCCTCCCTTTTTCTTGTATCGCTACTTCCTTGGAAAATCCCCGTTCACCTCCTCCCAGCACTCGGCCGTGCATAGTGGAGGTGGTGAACTACGATCGCCGGACGAGGGTAACGACAGTGGACATCATCATCCGAGAGGGCAAGAACAGGCAGATCCGCCGCATGTTCGAGGGCATTGGACACGAGGTCAAGTCCATCACGCGCGTGTCTCACGGCCCGATCAGGCTAAAGAACTTGAGGCCGGGGGAGTGGCGACAACTCGAACAGGTAAAGCGCAGTGCTCGTCGCGGAGTGTCGTTGGATCGACGGCAGTAGTCCTTGCTTCCGCATGTGGTTACCTTCTTGCGGCATTGTTGCTTGAGTACTCGAGGATGGTTCTCGCTTTCAACCTGCAACCCTTCGCAAAGGACATTAATTCTGTGGCGTCGGCAAGCTAGGCTCTCGCAAATCCTCCCTTTCCGCCTTACGTTTGGTGCTATAACCTGCAGTACCGGGTATACATGTTGTACCACTTTCGTAGTCTCCGTTTGATCGAAGCCTCAAGCATTGATCGGCCGCGTGAATGATGGAGCGCAGCGTTACATCACACTCTAGTTTGATGATACCCATTTGTGCGCATTGACTCCGAGATGACAGCCGCCGCGGTGCTGCCACCTCGCAACTCTCCAGTCAATTTTCCTGGCTCTTGCTCACTCCACAGTACATACCGGACGTGGTTTTGATTCGTATGCATACCGCTCTTCCTTGCCGAAATACACCAACCGACACACCCGAACACGCCGAACCAAAAATGAACGCCAGTGGGAGATCGAGAAGCTGAAGAACTTGACGACCAAGACTCTCAAGAGCCCCGCGAAGCAGCTGGCCCCTACCCCTACAAGGGCGGAGGGTCGACATCGGCAGGCCGCGGCAGCGGGGAGAATGTCGTCGCGGATGACGTCACAGCAACAGTACCACGGTTCGGAGTACCGCAGAGACGCGCTGGACGAGGAGGAGGACGAGTGGAATCAGGTGAGCACGGTTTCGAAGGCATAGCC